ACTTTAGGACTATATGGTCAACAGTGATTAACCCAAAATAATATATTATTGAGGTGGAAGTTTCTCCTCTCATCTAAAAGATACTGAGAATTTAGTTACAATATCAAACAGCTAAATTTTACAAAGATAACTGATATTATACCATCATCATAAAAATAAAACATTACTACAGTTAACTGTAGCTAGTTACTTGTTAACACAATAATAATACTACACTATCTAAATAGATTTTCTATTTCATTCTTATTCATGCCCTAATGGTTTTCAAACTTTGTAAAATAATATTATAAATATCAAAAGTTTTATTTTAGAAAATAAATTTTTCTAATTTTTATATTATTTAATTTTAAATTCAGGCTATCTAAAGAATATAAAAAACTACTAAGTTTTTACTTTAGATAAGTACTTGTGTTAGCATGAAAGCCTTTCACAAGAAAGTGAAGCAAGATTGTAATTATACTTGTCATAAGATATTAGCATTAGGCCTATTATATTGTTAAATACTACATTTTTTATCTAGTCCTTTGGGGATTTTCAAGAATTAGAAGGGTGTATAAAGAATGTTTTATGACAAGTATAATTATAAGTATTTGTTTGCTTAATAAATAAAATCAGTTATGGTTATTCATTTCCCTTAGTTGGTTACAGAGCATTTAAATAATTGCTCAGTTAATGATACAACACTATGTTCCAACATTTTTATAAATATACTTAAAAACATGTAGAACAATACTGAATACTGGAATAACAAGTATGGAAAAGTGTACATATTATTGTTGCAACAGTGTCTGATAAATGAATAAATCTTTGTTTTTAAATTTTAAGCAGTGTAATTATGCTGCCTGCATCATACATTTTCATGTGCAAAGTTTAGGATTGAAAAGTATCTTAGTTCTAAATTACTGTGCCTGAAGTTTGAAGACAGGGTTTCTTCTGGCTTTTCATGTTTTTTCACCAGTTGATAACATTTTTTGAGACAAACTTTAAAGTCAATTTTATATGTTAATTCTAACTATATCTCAACAATTTTAACTAAAAAATATTTTAGAATTGACGTCTTGTCATTTTCTGGCACTTCCTTAGTATAATTTATGAAGAAAAAGTTTTTTAAAATGCAGCTGCAGAGTGTTTTACCTGTAAGATATTGTCAATTTATGTAGATTTTTTCCTGCCCATCCTAAAGAATAACTATTTTTGTTAAGAACAAGGACATAGCAACAGTCCCTGCAGACCCAGCAGTGCAGAGGGGCCATAGCACTATAATAAATTGGTATTTGGAAAAATTTGCAGTGGGCTCACTCATTCTGTGCTATGCCTCTGGCTAAGAACCTACAGCCTCTTAAGAATACATTATCCATTTCCTGACTTTCAAGCACTTCCCTTACTATTTGTAGTGGCCTTGGATGAAACATTGTTGTGGTATCAAGTCAAATGGTTTGATCATTTACTAATGTAACACAGCTATAAAGAAAGTTTAAATATGATCGGATAAGGCAAGAACTAGACTACCACATAATAGTACAATAAATATATACGTTTAAGTTTGTTTTGTTGTTAAGCACAAAGCTATATAATGGGTTATTTGTGGGTTATATCCACCATGAGTTTCGATACCAAGTTTTTAGCATTATAAGCCTTTAGATTTATTGCTGAGCCACTGGAGGGCAATAGGTTTTTTTATAGTTTCTCTAAATGTTCATTTCAGTTCTATTCCTTTGTGAATCTTTAAAGTATTTGTGTGTTAAGTCATACCTGCTTGAAAAACATCTTCTTCAATGAGAAGACATCATATAACTTAAAATAAGGTAAGCTTATACAGTTTAGAGATGAGTTGAGTGGGTAACAAAGAAAACTGTATTACAAGTAGTTACCTAGACATGGAAATACATATATACAGTACAAAGCAGTCAACATGACTGGAGATAGCTTAAGGCTTAATAAAGATGTCTTTTGATGTTTGGCTTTTTGTTTAAAATAATGGTGTTTTTACTTTTTAATATATATATTCTATAGTTCTGTGAAGTTACAATGTTTGTAAACATGTTTTTTTACTATGTTAACCAATTAAAATAAATTTGTCATCAAATGAGATAAATTTAATCAAGTTTAGTGTGTATTATAGGCAACTACAAAATATTCAGTGAATTTTGTGCTGTTAAAGATTAAAGCGATAACTGATTAATCCATTAACTTGAGTAGTTCCATGTGTCAGCTTACAAACCATTTGACAAAAGCTATACAAACTCTGGACTACCTATCAGGTAATAAACCTTGCACAAAAACTCACAGGATCAGTTTGCACATCTAAATATGAGTGTACAAACTAGTGTACAAAACAACTATGTCTATCCCAAAATTGTGCACTTGGAGGTCACTTGTAAAATGTTTGAAGCCACTTTACTAATACATAGACAAATACATTTATATTTTGATGAACACATCAAGGACTTTATAATAAGAAACTAGCAGCCGAGAAAGGTGCTGAAGCTAAACATTTTCTAAGAAGAATTGTCTTATTTAAACAAATAAACTGCTGAAACAAACAGAACAAAATGTTTGACAGAGCACTTCCTTTGCTAGGCAAGAAATATGAGATACTAATAAGAACAAAGAAATCATCTATGAAACTTAATAATGTCTAGTCCCCTTGACATGTTACTCTCAAGTCTTTTTTTTTAACTGAAGTTTTGTCACTTCTTGCAGAGGATAATTACACTATATTAAAAAGATTTTGAAGCCTCATCACATCAGTACAGTCCATCTTGCCATGACCAGTCATGCTCTATCTGATGACCATGCATCTTGACAACAGCCTAGTCTTGGAAAATCTAAACTCCCAATCTGAACTCATTTTTATGATCCAAGTGTATGAATTTTTGGCATTGTAAAAGACTGTTATATATCCTACCCAAAAACAATGCATTTTTGATGGCATTACACTACCTATGAAATGCTAAGCAATGTCAAAATGTAGTTCTGATGCATAACATTCCACAAGGGGCATGATGGCAGGTGAAACAAAATATATGGCCTAGCTAACTAATGAATGAATATTTGCTGTAAAATTTTTATTAATGCTATACATGTAGCAACCAGTTTGGTTGCAAATTTTGATTTCATTCCTTTAAGTTGCATTCTCAATCCTTTTTTGGCTGCACCTTTTTTCCATCAAAGGTGCTTTTGATTAGATATCATGACTTTTTGTCAAAACGCACCAACAAACCACAGCAAGTACGAAAGTGACAGTTGACAGTAACCAACATTAACCTTAGGTTCGCAACCCTATCATTTTGAAAAGACCTATACTTTACAGAACCAACCAGATTCTTTAAAATATATGGTGGTAGTTTTCTTCTCTTAAACAGAGTTAATAG